AGGTGACTGCGTCACGGATAATTGTCACTTACCTGTACTTACTGGCTGCCAGCCCTCGGTGGAGTATATCGAGGAACAGAGGGTGCCTTTTAGGATAAGGACTAACAAGGTTTTGACTAGGTGGGATACAGCTACGACCGGAAGTGACTTTTCCCTAGCAGGTTAGGCTAATTAGGCTAGAGTGCAGATACTTGACATGTACAGTACAACAACAAATCACAGAGGGCCTGTTACCACAGCCTATAGGCTTGAACATCATAATATAACAATATATAATAATACTCATACATAATAATCGAAAATCACCTTTGACTACAGTGACATTGGTAGTAAGTAGGCTACAGTATAATGGATAGCTACCCAACTGGGACAGAAAGTGGAAATGGAAGGGGGACACGCAGTGAGCAAAACTCCTAACGACATAAAAACACAGACACTTCAGTGGAACGCACAGGGCAAGGCGGGAAGGAAGACGTGGAGAAGGACTATTGAAGAGGAGATGAAGAACACCGGAAGCATCGAGTGAAGAAATGGGCCCGGAACAGGGTTAGGCCGAGATGCACTGTTGACGCCCTATGCTTCATTTAGGACCTCAAAGAAATGAGTCAACTCCTATAGGGACTATTTTCACCGCCACCTGCTGGACCAGAGGTCATGTGGCCAACACTCTGCTTGAGATCATTAAGAGCTATAAGGAGTCCATCAACTACCTGGTCAGTCAAGTCATATAGGGGGGGATTTCATGGCCACCTGCTGGAGCAGAAGTAATGTTTGCCAACACTGGCCTTAAAATCATTAGGAGCTATAAGGAGTCCATCAACTAACTGGTCAGTCAAGTCATATAGGGAGGGATTTCATGGCCACCTGCTGGAGCACAAGTAATGTTTGCCAACACTGGCCTTAAAATAATAAGGACCTAGGCGTTACTCTTGACCCTGATCTCTCTTTTGACGAACATATCAAGACTGTTTCAAGGACAGCTTTTTTCCATCTACGTAACATTGCAAAAATCAGAAATTTTCTGTCCAAAAATGATGCAGAAAAATTAATCCATGCATTTGTTACTTCTAGGTTAGACTACTGCAATGCTCTATTTTCCGGCTACCCGGATAAAGCACTAAATAAACTTCAGTTAGTGCTAAATACGGCTGCTAGAATCCTGACTAGAACCAAGAAATTTGATCATATTACTCCAGTGCTAGCTTCCCTACACTGGCTTCCTGTTAAGGCAAGGGCTGATTTCAAGGTTTTACTGTTAACCTATAAAGCGTTACATGGGCTTGCTCCTACCTATCTTTCCGAGTTGGTCCTGCCGTACATACCAATACGTACGCTACGGTCACAAGATGCAGGCCTCCTAATTGTCCCTAGAATTTCTAAGCAAACAGCGGGAGGCAGGGCTTTCTCCTATAGATCTCCATTTTTATGGAACAGTCTGCCTACCCATGTGAGAGACGCAGACTCGGTCTCAACCTTTAAGTCTTTACTGAAGACTTATCTCTTCAGTAGGTCATATGATTGAGTGTAGTCTGGCCCAGGAGTGTGAAGGTGAACGGAAAGGCTCTGGAGCAACGAACAGCCCTTGCTGTCTCTGCCAGGCCGGTTCCCCTCTCCACTGGGGTTCTCTGCCTCTAACCCTGTTGCAGGGGCTGAGTCACTGGCTTGCTGGTGCTCTTTCATGCCGTCCCTGGGAGGGGTGCGTCACTTGAGTGGGTTGAGTTACTGACGTGATCTTCCTGTCTGGGTTGGCGCCCCCCCTTGGTTTGTGCTGTGGTGGAGACCTCTGTGGGCTATACTCGGCCTTGTCTCAGGATTGTAAGTTGGTGGTTGAGGATATCCCTCTAGTGGTGCGGGGGCTGTGCTTTGGCAGAGTGGGTGGGGTTATATCCTTCCTGTTTGGCCCTGTCCGGGGGTTTCTTCGGATGGGGCCACAGTGTCTCCGGACCGCTCCTGTCTCAGCCTCCAGTATTTATGCTGCAGTAGTTTATGTGTCGGGGGGCTGGGGTTAGTTGGTTATACCTGGAGTACTTCTCCTGTCTTATCCAGTGTCCTGTGTGAATTTAAGTATGCTCTCTCTAATTCTCTCGTTCTCTCTTTCTCTCTGAGAACCTGAGCCCTAGGACCATACGTCAGGACTACCGGGCATGATGACACCTTGCTGTCCCCAGTCCGCCTGGCCTTGCTGCTATTCCAGTTTCAACTGTTCTGCCTGCGGTTACGAAACCCCTACCTGTCCCAGACCTGCTGTTTTCAACTCTTAATGATCGGCTATGAAAAGCCAACTGAGAGACCTGAGCCCTAGGACCATACGTCGGGACTACCGGCCGTGGTGACTCCTTGCTGTCCCCAGTCCGCCTGGCCTTGCTGCTATTCCAGTTTCAACTGTTCTGCCTGCGGTTATGGAACCCCTACCTGTCCCAGACCTGCTGTTTTCAACTCTTAATGATCGGCTATGAAAAGCCAACTGAGATTTATTCCTGATTATTATTTGACCATGCTTGTCACTTATGAACATTTTTGAACATCTTGGCATGGTTCTGTTATAATCTTCACCCGGCACAGCCAGAAGAGGACTGGCCACCCCTCATAGCCTGGTTCCTCTCTAGGTTTCTTCCTAGGTTTTCGCCTTTCTAGGGAGTTTTTCCTAGCCACCGTGCTTCTACACCTGCATTACTAGCTGTTTGGGGTTTTAGGCTGGGTTTCTGTACAGCACTTCGAGATATTAGCTGATGTAAGAAGGGCTATATAAAATAAAATTGATTGATTGATTGATTGATGATTCAAGTCATATAGGGAGGGATCTTAGCACCACCTGCTGGATCAGAAGTACCCTTCACCGTAGGCACAAGAGAGCCATCATCTCTCAACCGGTGCAATTTCCATAAGTATGTGGTAATAAAACAAACAACGACCGCTCATCATATAGGCAGTGGTTTCAAAACTCTAAGCGCGTGTTCAAGTAGAGCACACCAAATCATACATGTACTTGTTCATCACACTGAATCAGTGTTTAATCTAGAAATACATGCCTCGCGTTGCAATACGTGTTCTGGTAATGTCATTGCTTTCCACAATGCAATGCTCACATCACTTTCCGTGTGATATTGTTGTTCATTTGTTCAAATGTATTTGACTATGACTTAATCCGACTGCTCTGAATTCATAATCACCTCACGGTTTGGTGTTAACCTACCGATTTTCAACTGCTTTGCCTACTGCAGATTAGGAACGCTGTCATGAAAATGTATGCTTGGGAAGTCTAAAATGAGGGTAACTCCCCTTAAGGTAAATGTCTGTGTTCTGAGTGGCAAAAAAAATACTGATTTTTTAATGCCATTTAGATATGTGCATACAGCCTGTCCTTAGGCAAACGCATTTAGAAGGGAAAGAAGTGGAACCAATGAATACTTTTCTTGCCTTGGGGTTGAAGCTCCATTGTATCTCTCGTAAGTAATGGGTCTGCCCACAGAGATCCTATACTAGTTAGTGTTGTAGTTCCTATTTCTACGGTTTTGCCTACCTGCAGCAATCAGGATTTACCTGCAGTGTTGATTGCGAATCCGTAATTTCTCATCTCATAATAACAGATGTTTTGCAAACCGTTGATGTTTAAATAAATGGATTCCCGGTGTCCGGATACCTTTTCTCTTAAGGGATCTGATTGAGTGAATCCAAAGTAAAAATGTGAACATTTTTCTGACTTGGTCTAAATACATAATAGGATGAATCATTCAGGTAAAATAACACAATGTCTATTTGAGTTGAATCAACATAATATAATCATTTTTTACCTCTATCATCTTTACTCTATGTATTGGACCACATCTAAACAACTTACTCAAGCTTATCTACGCATAAAAACAAGCTAAAAGATCTACTCAATAATATGACGTGTGCTTTTGTTGACTGTAATAGCTTGAGTACATTCCACAAAGTCATTTTTTTACAGTGTATCTAAAGACACGTTTGTTGTGGTGATGCACTTTTTCTTTGACGTTGAACTTGCATTGAACAGACAAATCCATTTCGTTACAACCCTTTTGTAGTATGATTTAGGAATATTTGTGGATGATCCTAATGTCTATGCTTGAATAGTGATTGGTTGTTGGTGAAATATTGTTGAGAACCCATCGTTTCCTGCCCTTTTTTCACTATTGAGCAATGTTGAAACATTTGTTTTGCTATTGGATTCATAATGGTGACCTGGGACAAGTAATTAGTGAAAACCAGAGTTCAGCAGTTGCCATTAAAGCGATCGAACCAAGTCATCCTAATAGGCTAGTATTAGCCTAAAGCAGGGTTTCCCAAACTCGGGGCACGTTTTGGGAGTTTTTGCCCTAGCACTACACAGCTGCTTCAAATAATCAACTCATCATCATGAAGCTGGAGTATTAGAATCAGCTGTGGAGTGCTAGGGCAAAACGCAAAACGCGCACCCCTTGGGGACCCCAGGACCGCGTTTGGGAAACGCTGGCCGAAAGGGAATCACCATGATGTGCAGTACCCACATTTAACCACAAGATGGCCTCCGTGCTCCACTGTAAAGTTTTGGCCTCTGCATGAGTCTCTCAGCAGCACTGCAACATGGGACTTTCAAAGTAAGTTGGCATGCAATGTTTTTTCTGGACTGCATGCAAGGCTATTATTACACACAACTAATAGTGTCAATTATTCATCTGAACACAATTCTTGTTACTATTCGGCCTATATTATCACTCGTTTCTTTTTCCCCTCCTTTGTAAAGCATTTTACTGTGCTACTATAGTTCAAAGGAAGTGGATGATGCCAGATGGTTGTGTATATACAAACAAACATTGAAGCTAGACTTCAGGCAACTAAAAGGTGCAATACGTAGCTTTTAGACGTGTTAGTGAACAACATACATGGTGGCTAATGTAGAGGTGCGTGTATACATGGAACAATTGTGCCTTTTTGATGGAAAAATGGAGGTGGCTCTTAAAAGAGCCTTTGGGGGATTTTCGAGTTCAGGTCATCCTCATTTATGCGCGCTCTCCGCGAATACGGCGGGCCAGCTGGATGTCCTTGGGCATGATGGTCACCCGCTTGGCGTGGATGGCGCACAGGTTGGTGTCCTCGAACAGGCCGACCAGGTAAGCCTCGCTAGCCTCCTGCAGGGCCATCACGGCGGAGCTCTGGAAGCGCAGGTCGGTCTTGAAGTCCTGGGCGATTTCTCGCACCAGGCGCTGGAAGGGCAGCTTGCGGATGAGTAGCTCAGTGGACTTCTGGTAACGACGGATCTCTCTCAGAGCCACGGTGCCGGGCCTGTAACGGTGAGGCTTCTTCACACCGCCGGTGGCCGGGGCACTCTTGCGAGCAGCCTTAGTGGCGAGCTGCTTCCTGGGGGCTTTGCCACCGGTGGATTTGCGAGCGGTTTGCTTGGTTCTGGCCATGGCGCTGGGAGTATAGCCTCGAAATGCCTATGTGAAGTTTATAAAGCCGGCAGTGGCGCCTGCTGATTGGACACCATCTCCCCACCACCCCGATTGGCCCGTTGCGCAGGCCTCCTCCGTTGGCCATTGGACGCGAGGCCCGGCCTCTCCAAAATTCAAACTCCCGGTGCGCGCGCAATAATAGTCGCCAAAGTCAAGAGTGACATCTTATAGGCACGTGTAATCTAATGCTAGCCTGCTATGGCAAACGAGGCCTAGTTGTTCATGCAAGGCCTCATGTGGGCACAGAATGTCGAAATAGTTGTGTATACACCCACTCAATGTATTGCGGTCATAGAAAGGTACTTTGCGCTTTTGGAGAGCTAGGTGGTTGGCTCTTAAAAGAGCCTTTGGGGGTTGAGTAGTCAAGTTGAAGTCGCGAATTTACTTGGCTTTGACTGCCTTCTCTGTCTTCTTGGGGAGTAGCACTGCCTGGATGTTGGGCAACACACCACCCTGAGCGATGGTCACACCGCCGAGCAGTTTGTTCAGCTCCTCGTCGTTACGGACGGCCAGCTGCAGGTGACGGGGGATGATACGAGTCTTCTTGTTGTCACGGGCAGCGTTGCCGGCCAACTCCAGGATCTCAGCAGTCAGGTACTCGAGCACGGCGGCCAGGTAGACTGGTGCGCCAGCGCCCACACGCTCGGCGTAGTTGCCTTTGCGCAGCAGCCTGTGCACACGGCCCACAGGGAACTGGAGACCAGCACGGGATGAACGGGTCTTTGCCTTCGCCCTGGCCTTGCCTCCGGTTTTGCCTCTTCCGCTCATATTGGTAGCTTGAGAAAGTCACAGAAAGTCTGAATGAGCCGCTCGCCACTTCGAGAGCCGTACATATACCTCGCCACAAGAGGCAACGATTGGCCACCGGGCCGGTGTGGCCTTATCCAATTGGAGCGAGGGACAGACGGACGGACAGACAGCTCTAAGCCGGTTCCCACCCACAGGCAGCGAGTGAGAGGCTACTTTGTTTCCCTCCGACTTTGTTACTTTGTGTCATTTCGCGTGAGCGCCAAAATGAAATCCTCACATTATTTCTCTCCAAATGGGAAACAAACAGCTGGTGAGGGTGCACTCTTGAGTTTGAAATCGAAGCCACTATAGTATTGTTATTGTTGTTACATGGCACTTGTAACACATCACAGCAGCCTGCCTCTGAACGGGAATAGCCCAGTGGCTCATATATAAAAATGGCTGGTGAGGGTGCACTCGTGAGGTCGAATTTCTAAGCCATTTTGGCCCTCTATTATATGCCTCTCCCTTCGCACACACCCAGAGTGGGACAATGTTGTGTGCGTAAAAGTAGCCTAGTGTGCGTAATTTCTTTTTCACAACAGGTAGTACATGGAAATCAATGCGCTTTCTATGGAAAGAGGTGGGTGGCTCTTAAAAGAGCCTTTTGTGGTACAACATGTGTCGAGTAGAACACTGTTTGTAATAGGTTTACTTCTTCTTGGGGGCTGCCTTCTTGGCCTTGGCTGCCTTGGGCTTGGCGGCTTTGGGCTTGGCTGCCTTTGTAGCCTTCTTGGGGCTCTTGGCTGCCTTCTTGGCCGCTGCGGCGGGCTTCTTCACCTTCTTGGGGCTCTTGGCGGCCTTTTTGGGTGTAGCGGGCTTCTTGGCCTTCTTGGGGGACTTCTTTGCGGTGACGGCCTTCTTGGCTGCTACCTTCTTGGGCTTCTTAGCCGCGGCTGGCTTCTTGGCGGCCACCTTCTTTACTTTGGGGACTGCGGCTTTCTTGGCGGGCTTCTTCGCCTCGACGGCTTTCTTGTTGAGCTTGAAGGAGCCGGATGCACCGGTGCCCTTGGTCTGGACCAGGGTGCCCTTGGTGACGAGGCTCTTGACTGCGATCTTGACGCGGGAGTTGTTCTTCTCCACGTCGTAGCCGCCTGCCGCCAGCATCTTCTTGAGCGCGGCCAGGGAAACGCCGCTCCTCTCCTTGGAAGCGGTCACAGCCTTGACGATGAGCTCGCCTACGCTGGGTCCCGCTTTCTTGGCCTTGGCTGCTGCCTTCTTCTTGGGTGCCTTGGCCGGTGCGGCGGCGGCGGGTGCTGGTGCGACTTCTGCCATGTCTGTCTGTCGTTTGGTCCGGTACACACACACGGTCTGCGAGGAGTAGTTTCCTGTAGATGCTGTTCTGCGCTATTGAAGCTCCACACTGAGCAGGGGGCTGGCCTTAAACGCGACATGAGAACCACATCAAGCCACCCAGCTCGGCTTCTCTGGGCTGGCCAAATGCTCTTTCACTTGTGTTTTCTGTTCGCCTATATCGGCCCAAAAGTCACCGACGGAGCCGTGTTTTTGCTCCAAAAGCGAACGGCCCAGCGAGCAGACTTGTCTCCGTTCAGAATAAAGTCATGTGGGCCGCGGAAGGGCCGTGCATTTTGTTGCGACTCGCTCAAAATCTCACCGTTGGACTGTCGGGTGGAGCGGTGCGCACTGGTTTTCCTGTGCTATTTGTCTCCTAAATGGCCTAAAAGTGCATCCGATTGCGAGCAGCACTTGTTGTGTAGTGAGCCGAGATGTCTGGCAAGGGAATCAAATGGTTTGGTGTCCCCTGATGTGGTCCAGGGTGTTTTAAAGAAGTGCTCTTTTGGGGACCTTAAAACACATGCACCTGTGATTCCTGGCTGAGACGAGTGTCGTACTTCAAGTTTCAAGTTGTATTCGTCGTATGTACAGGATCCACATGGTATAAACTGTCCTACGACATGCTTACTTGCACTGTGTGTGTATTAGTACTTTTTGTGCACTGGCAGTGTGTGTGTTGTTGTTGTATTTGTAGCCTACTATTTCTACACAGTGAGATTGTGTGTTGTCTTCCCCTCCCTTCTGGTAGGTAGGTAGGTAGGTAGGTAGGTAGTTAGGTTGGCTGTCACTCCTTAGGTTGGCTGTCACTCCTTCACTAGACTCTTTCAGTCTCTCTCTCTCTCTCTCTCTCTCTCCGAGTGGGACAAGGGCTGCATATGTGGTTGGACTGGGAGAAGAATCCCAGCAGGTGCATGTGGGTCAGAAGGCTGATTGCGGCCTCTTTTCTTTTCCCTGTTGTATAGGCTATCCCCAAGGTAGTCATTGGAATCCACTACTGCTCCAACGACTATCACACTCACTCCTTCACTCACTCCTTCAGTCACTCATTCACTCACGTGGAAGCCACTGCCTTTTATCCTGTTGCCTCGTGAGTGTAGTAGGAAGGAAAATACACTACGTGACTCAAATGTACTACACTTCACATGGACATTTTGAGTCATGTAGCAGACGCTCTTATCCAGAGCCACTTACAGTTAAGTGAGTGCGTACATTTTCATACTGGCCCCCCGTGGGAAACGAACCCGCAACCCTGGCGTTGCAAGCGCTGTGCTCTACCAACTGAGCTACAGGGGACTATATGGATGATGCGACCTTGACCGGAAATGACCTGTAGGCCAAAAGGGCTACGTTCATATATATATATATATATATAATTATATACATTCATATTATTCACCACCTTTTTATTCTTGCCATTATCATTCTCATCATTAGGGTATAGTCCAATGATGGAGCATCCATTCACTCCATCCGTGTCCTACCGATTCAGGAAGTCAACTCAAAATGACTATCCGCTCATTAGACGACAAAAGGCATTTCTTTCCAATCAAACCCAACAGACTGCCTTTTTGATTCATTTATTTACACCCTTTGTCAAATGGTGCCATTTTACATTGCCTTCACCTGGAATGGAGCCCGACAAACATGGGTTACTATTCAGCGCGCTAAACCCCTACGCTGGAACGGGCAGGGGAAATGATACAATGTAGCCGCTCTCCGAGCCGGCGCGCGCCGCCCATTAAACAATGATACAATGTAACCGCGGTCGTACAATGTAACGCAGCCTACCTACGCATTCATTCGGTGGCGATGGAATTGCTTTTTTTACTGACAGAGTGGGTGGCTCTTAAAAGAGCCTTTGGGTTAGTAGAGCAGTCCAAATGCGCTGTTTACTTGGAACTGGTGTACTTGGTTACGGCCTTGGTGCCCTCGGACACGGCGTGTTTGGCAAGTTCACCGGGGAGCAGCAGGCGCACTGCGGTCTGGATCTCCCTGGAGGTGATGGTAGAACGCTTGTTGTAGTGGGCCAGGCGAGAGGACTCTCCGGCGATACGCTCGAAGATGTCGTTCACGAAGGAGTTCATGATTCCCATGGCCTTGGAGGAGATGCCGGTGTCGGGGTGGACCTGCTTCAGGACTTTGTACACGTAGATGGCGTAACTCTCCTTCCTGGACTTTCTGCGCTTCTTGCCGCCCTTCCCTGCGGTCTTGGTGACGGCTTTCTTGGAGCCCTTCTTGGGCGCTGACTTTGCTGGCTCGGGCATGATGATGTCTCGTTGCTTCTCAGAAACGAATGAGGGGGTGAAGGGCGCTTACCCGTCTTATGAAGAGGAAGCTAAGCAAAGTCAGCGGCCGTAGACACTCCCCTGCTCCCTCCCTCCCTCCCTCCTCTCTATAGCCTATGCTCTGTGACCGATGGGGAATTGTGTGTTTCAAAAGGGGGGCTTTAATAGGTGTCCAAATGGCACGATTGTTGTGCCAAATAATGCTGGTGATAGAATTGCCCACTTTGGCACCGTCAGACATAGGGCTCCCATTTTGGACTGTGTGTGTGTGTGCGCGCTGTCCCCCTCTTTTCGAGCCACGTCTACCGACTCGTGGTGGCTTTATGTTGTCCAAATTCCACTATTGCTTGACCCAAAATAATAACGTTCTTACACTTTGCCACTGTCAGATATAGGCCTCCCTCTGTGCACTAAAACTGGACGGGACATTAGAATAATTAATACTCCCTGTCCACTCGAAGTGGCTCATACTTTCTTACTAAATAGCATACAATTTTTTTTTTATATATATATTTATAACACTATATGGAATGGGCCCATTTGAAGCGGATGTGGGTGGCTCTTAAAAGAGCCTTTGGGTTCGAGTCGGGGTGTTGAGGTTCCGAAGAGAGTGGGTTTAACCGCCGAAACCGTACAGGGTGCGTCCCTGACGTTTAAGAGCGTAGACCACGTCCATGGCGGTAACGGTCTTCCTCTTGGCGTGCTCGGTGTAGGTGACTGCGTCACGGATAATTGTCACTTACCTGTACTTACTGGCTGCCAGCCCTCGGTGGAGTATATCGAGGAACAGAGGGTGCCTTTTAGGATAAGGACTAACAAGGTTTTGACTAGGTGGGATACAGCTACGACCGGAAGTGACTTTTCCCTAGCAGGTTAGGCTAATTAGGCTAGAGTGCAGATACTTGACATGTACAGTACAACAACAAATCACAGAGGGCCTGTTACCACAGCCTATAGGCTTGAACATCATAATATAACAATATATAATAATACTCATACATAATAATCGAAAATCACCTTTGACTACAGTGACATTGGTAGTAAGTAGGCTACAGTATAATGGATAGCTACCCAACTGGGACAGAAAGTGGAAATGGAAGGGGGACACGCAGTGAGCAAAACTCCTAACGACATAAAAACACAGACAGGGCAAGGCGGGAAGGAAGACGTGGAGAAGGACTATTGAAGAGGAGATGAAGAACACCGGAAGCATCGAGTGAAGAAATGGGCCCGGAACAGGGTTAGGCCGAGATGCACTGTTGACGCCCTATGCTTCATTTAGGACCTCAAAGAAATGAGTCAACTCCTATAGGGACTATTTTCACCGCCACCTGCTGGACCAGAGGTCATGTGGCCAACACTCTGCTTGAGATCATTAAGAGCTATAAGGAGTCCATC